AAGTCCTTAAACTAACTATCTGTTGAACAGGTATTACATATATATTTATATGTTCAATAAATAAATAAATAAAATGAAATGCTCACTTCTTTTCTTTGTTCGTCATTTTCTCTTCTCAAACGTCTAACTAATCTATTGGCATCATCTAATTTTTCATGTAAAATATCTATTGAATTATCTGATCCGGAACTTTTGGTTTTCGTAGCCATATTTTCTTTTTCACTTTTTTTCCTCGTCATTAATAAATAAACTTTTTCATTTTCAAGCATTGATATTTTTTTCTTTTGCTCTTCGACAATGTGTTGAAAATAAAGATTTTTAGTTTTAGATTCATTTAATTTTGTTTTAAGTTCCATTATGTTTCCTTCGAGTACTTCAATTTCTAATGGAGTTATGTTTGGTACTTGACCGGGACTAAATGAAAATTTTCTTTGGAGTTCTTCATCGGAAGAAGGACTACTTTGTACAAAATTAAATCCTTTTGAAAAAACTATTTGAAATTGAAGGTCTGAAATTAAAAAAAATTTTTTTAATTTTATAAATTTAAACAAAAAAAAAATGATTTAAAAAAATTTTTAATAATGAATGACTCACCTCGATTTTTTCTTCTCAATATTTCAATTTCTTTATGTAAATCACAAAGCATAATTTCATGTTGTTCCTGTAAAAATTTAATATTTTGTTCTAATTGATTTGCTCGGACTACTGGATCTGATGATGTAAATTTTATTATTTCTTGACAATCCGTATTAACTGCATCTTCTGCTTTATTATTAATCTGTAGGAAAAAAAAAAAAATTTTTTTTGTAATATTATTTTTTAAATTTTTCTCAAAATCTTACAGGTACTCACTTCTACAATATTATTAGTTTGTTGAAATGGGTCCTTTGGAATATTTAATATCACTTTCGAACTCATTTTCCCTTTTATTGATTTTCAAATAAAAAATAAAAAAAATTTTTTTTTTTTTTTTAAATAATTAAAATACGATTTTTCGTATTAATTTCTATTCATAATACAAAAAAAAAACAATTGCTTTTAATCTGGCACAAACAAGTGAATAATATAAATAATAATAATAATAATAATAATAATTTAAACAAAAATTAGTAAACCCATAATTCCAGTATGACTACTACGATTATTGATTTCACTGGAAAATGAAATAAAAAAAAAAAAAGAAAAATCACGCAAACTCGGAAAAAAAAAAATTTCCATGGTGACGTATTTTTATTTACTTTGTATCACCTTTATTTATTTATTTTATTTTGTGTGTGTGTGAGTGCGTACGTGCGTGTGTATGAGTAAATAAAGTTTTTTTTTTT